ACATCATCTAATCTAGAATATTCGCTTTTCAGGCACCAGTCAATGCAGAAGATGCAAAGTTGGATCTACTTTATATGGGAACGTATTCATCAAAACCGCGCGTGGGTGTTAAACCGTTGTGGAGGTATACAACGGCATTACGTGAAATGGGTGCTCTGAAAGTGACGCATTCGTCTTTTTGGGACTACTCGACAAAAGTGATTTTTTTTTTTGAAATTAGTCATCTGATCTCTTCATTATATTAGTTGCATTTGATAAGTCTTAGTGAATTCACTGCTGAACTCTCTTCAGACATGTTATTCAAGAATTGTATTGCAATTGATTAGTAGTTCACAAGCGAATTTTTAGTCAGTCTTGCAATCGGAGACCTGTTACGTTTGTGCCTCAATTCCCCGCATGTTGTTGTGTTGAAATGTGAACTGAATTATGGAATGTGGTATAATTCGGCATTGTTCTAATGCAACTGAAACGATGAATTCCAGATGCGTTTACGTCAAAATGCGGTCGCTACGGCATCGCAGTCAGTTGTCAATGCAGCACTGGCGAGTGTCGGACAGGCGCAGTCGTCTCTGAAAATCGCTCAGTCGTCATCCGATAAGCTTTCGTTACCAACCAGCAAACTGTCCTCATCGTCATCAGCATCGTCCTGCTCTTCACTGTCCCTCTCACTCCCAATAAACAACTCGGCAATATCGCCACCGTCCGTATCATCGTCGTCCTCCAATCAAACACTGCCATTTGGTTGCGGTATCACGGCCACAACAACGCTCCTGTCCTCCTCAAACGATTCCTCCACCCTCAGTTCCACTACTGCCACTTCCAGTAAAATTCCTTCCGCGAAGTCCAATAATTCTTCCCTTCAGCAATCGTGCATCAATTTGTCAGCATCACAGAGCGATCTGAAAAAGTTTGTAAATTGTTTTTTGAATGTACTTTCAGCTGTTGGTTACTTTATGTTCGTCGAAGTATTTGATTGGGTTCGTTCAGTTTCTCTTCTTGATACCGAGTGACTTAACTCAACGATTGTGTTTGAATGTAAATGTTTGCAGTTGTGAAAAGGATTTGCTAACAGTACCAATGGATCAAACACAGCCATCCATCAAATCGGATACATCCAATATGACTGCAAATACAATGAGACAAGTGGCTGGAGGACATCGAACCGATGAAGTGTATGTGTATGTACGAGGACGTGGTCGTGGACGTTACGTGTGCGATCGATGTGGAATTCGCTGCAAGAAACCGTCAATGCTCAAGAAACATCTCAAGTATGCTAATTCATTTTTCTTCTTAAAGCCATTCCTATGTTCGCAGGTTCTCGAAGAGTCGAACAGACTTCTTTAATTTTATCACCTAGTTCGATACAGAGCACTGGAACAGCCGTTCTGAGAAAGAAAACGCAGATAGTGTAGCTGTGAATGCAACATTTTTTTCTCATTCTTCTTGATAGCGAGTTTGATGAGCTTGAATGGGGGATCATTGCATAGAATTATGAAGAATCTTTGATGCATTCTGTGGTAGATATTGTTTTCCTCTTGTTTATACTGAGTCGAATTAATGAAAAGTTCTGAACTGCAGATCGCATACGGACATTCGACCGTTCAGATGTGCCGAGTGTAATTTTAGCTTCAAAACGAAAGGTAATCTGACAAAACATCTCCAATCTAAGTCTCATCGTCGGCGCATGGCCGAAGTTCGTAATGAAACTGCTGAAGCTGAATCGGACAGTGATCACGATCGACTCGAGATCGCAAGTCCGGCTGTTTCGACGTACTCGAACGATCTTCTCTCTGATGATGAAAAGTAATCAGTTTGATTCACTCGTTCCTTTATAATTTATGTTTTTTTCATTTAATACCCTTCCACTCACTATCTATCGTTTGTTATCATCACATCATTAATTTTGAGTTAAGCGCCTGTAACTTTACTGAATCTTTCTGATTAGGAAAGAAATTGTTGAAGATATTTATTGAGCCGTTCGAATTTTCAGCTCATCCGATGAAGAGTTACGGCAGTCGTCTGATGCGTACATCAACGGTTCAACATCATATCGCAAATTTGGTCAAGGTGCACTTTTTCGCGTTGTTATTACAACATTATCGCATTTTTGCAAATCTAACTGCATATTACTGTTGTTAAAATGCAATGATATCAAATCAGTACAAATGGAATCAAGACGCGTTCAATTTGTGCCATCTTCAGAGAATATTCTCATTGAACGGGGTGCACATACTCCGCCAACACTGTGGATGGTTGGTGAGCCAGTGGTACGATGGCCCGAGGCTGATCAAAATCGTGTTTGTCACAGTGCACCTCCGGCCGCACACTTCTCGCCTGAATCAAAACATCGCCGTAAAATACCCATTCAAGCGCAGTTCATTGAAAAGGTGCAATTATGAAATTATCGTTGTAATGGCTTTTTGTATTATGAATGTGATGATTCTGATATAATTCTCGTCTGATAATGAAGCCGAACAATTATCATCGATGAATTCAGATGATAACTGAAGAGTCCAGTGACGAAACGGATATGCTGCATCGTGGCCGTTCGAATACGCTTGCCACAATTCCGCCAACCCTAACGAACGGTTCAAATGAACTCTTATCCGCATCACAAAGCAGTGTTAGCAATTCGTCGACACCAACAGTCAATCAGCAATCTGATGGAACTTTTCTGGATAACAAAGAGGTACTTTTTTTGTGGTTCGTTCGCTTTTTTTTCGTATTTTGAATTGTCATTTCTCGTCACTCGTCTTGTATTGAATTGAATTATCTCATTGTATTGTTACGCGCTGATCTTGTATCATATTGAAACGTGCATGTATTGTTCGGTTTCGTGTTTGAGTGGTTTCGTTGAATGCTTTCGAAAGATTGTCATGATCTTATAAACGATTAATTAATTGTTTATTTCAGTTGTTCTTCATAGAATCACTAAAAGCTGTCAATTACGTTGCAGAAAATGGTGTGTGATATGTGTGGACGAGTGTTTCGCAAAGCCACCGAGCTAACGTTACATCGTCAGACGCATTATCTGGAGCAACAAAACGCCAAAGCTCGTACCTATCAGTGTCCGGAGTGTAAACAGAGTGTACGATCACGAGGTCTGCTCAACAAGCACATGGAAACCGCGCATGGAACAAGTGCGGCTGATAAACGCTTGACGAGTGAAACGAATGACTCAGATGCGGGTCAGTTCCCACATGTTTATTAATCCGAATAATGTCTTCACTCTCCTCTTTGTCTTATTCAGAATCATTACTGCATCATAATCAGGGCATGAGCGTATTTTTCCGATTAGAAAAGTCATTTTTGTTGTAAATATTGGAGATTTGTTGGACATCAATAAGTCATCACATCATCATCACTCGTCATATAATTTAAATATTGGATTAATTGAGTGATGAACGCATTGCAGAGGAAAGTACGTCGAGTGTATCGCAGACAATCAATCCGCGATCGTTTGTCTGCACCGATTGCAATATCGGCTTTCGTAAGCACGGTATCCTGGCGAAACATCTGCGCTCAAAGACTCATGTGATGAAGCTGGAAAGTCTGCATAAGCTGCCGGATGATGCATTGACGTTGTTGACGCGTAAAGAGAATGGCTCATGTCTGAACGATGTGGATACAACGGATTGTGAACGTGCCAGAGCATCGTTAATCTGTTCGTTTTGCATTCGCGTTTATTTTCATTCGTTTGCTTATTGATATTTTTTGTTTTGTTCGTCGCTAAAAATTTAGAATCCACATGAGCAACTCGCTTATAGTGAGCGAAGAGTAGACATCGGAGTCAATGATAACAATTGTTTTAAAGGATACTCTATGAATATCACATTTGAATGATCAGCTTCAATTTTAATCAACCAAAATGTCGATGATACCTTTCGAAATTAAAAAAACTCATCATAATATTCATATTTTGTTGATTGTCAGATGAAAAATTTGCAAATTGCAGCAATAATCGCGTCACTTCGCGACTCGACTTCGTTGGAGTGCCGTGAACAAATGCTGCAGTCACCAGCACCACCTCTCAATAACTGTTATTCGTTGACGAACAACAATCGAAGACGCTCCCCTTCTAGTGTACATAATTTTGGTAAGCGGTCACCGTCCACTACACCGCATCAACATCACCAACAGCCACAGCAACAACAACAACAACAACAACAGTTATTGCCAAAACGTCGTGAGAGCTTCTCGAACAAACGAGTTCGTTTCACTTCATTTCTCGTTTTCTGCTCAATTTCAATTCAAACTTGAACTCATTCTGATCGTAGGTAAACGCAAATTTGCAATTTTATCTTTAAAATTAATCCACAAACTTACAATTGGTTATATTCTAAGAATTTGTGTGTTTAACGAACTCGTCAAATGAATCGTTTCAGAATGATATTTCGTCGTTNTTGGGTGCCACCGAAACCAGATCCACCGTTGGTGAGTGCTTGCAATAACTAGCTTTTGCTATCGTCGTTCCTTCTATTTTCAACATTCATAGTCGCTCTGAGGCAGTTCGGCTAGCTGTCTTTTTGCGTCAGAACTGATGCGCATTTAATGCACAAGACATTAATTCCAGTGATGGTTATTTTCTGATGAATATCGTTTGTAATTCATTCAGTATTTTTATTGCTAGTCAGCATTATTATTAATTATTTATTAGTGTTATTATTATTGTTATTATTATTTTTCAGTGGTTTTTTGTGTTGCATTATTTTTGTTATGATTGATGTATTATATGTCGTCATTTCCATTATTTTTTTTTGAAGTTTCGTTTCGTTTTACTGTCGTCATGTTGATGTGATGTTTGATAATTTTGGCGCGTGATTAAAGAAGTAAATAAAAACGTTCACTTCTAACGTGCGTTCATTCCTCTGTCTGTGATTCAGTTGTCATTTATTGGTTTGGTTTCATTTGTTTTCACAATTATTTTCGCTTTTGCCAGATTGTGAATGTCATTATGATCATTATTACTATTACTAATGTCGTTATGAGGAACGTTTTCAATTGCATTCAATTGAGTTTGATGCAAAATTACGCAACTAAACGTCAAAAATGCGATCATTTTGAAATATACTCAATTCTGAGTTACTGATTCACTCTCAGTTCATCAGTGCTCTGCTCGAATTTCTTTTCAATTTAGCATCAGCCATCCCCACGTTCTCACAATAATCCAACTGCATTCTTTTTGTGAAACGAACTCGATTCGTTGTCGTATATTTGTGTACGGATAAATCGCTGACGAACGATTATCGTTTCATCGAGTGCAATCATTGATTTATGCGGTCAATCAAATGCTGGGAGGGAATTTAAAATTCGCTGAAGAAGTATTGATGATGCGTTATCATCAAGAAAAGTATTACGCACCAACATCCCAATTGCTGGAAATATTATGGGAAAACGCACTGGAATAGTCCTCAAAATGTTTATTTGAACATTACTTATTGCAGTTTTGTAGTAGTAGTAGTAGTAGTAGTAGTATTAAAGTTTTGTCTGCTTTCAGCCGTCTGACAGACGATCAGCTGAAGTGATCATCACATCAACCAGTCGTTTCATCACCGATTCATCTGCGTTGTCCGACAATGGTAACTGTTGTTTCCTCTAGTGTTCGTTCAATCTTGATGCCTTACTAAGACAGGCGTTTTCCATTCACTAAGCAGTATAGCTGTAGCAGTATAGCGTTTGTGCTTTTCATAGATTCCATTGCAGTTTTCTCAAATTCATAAGTTTATGTGAGTGTTCATGAGAAGATCATCGAAATGTGATCGGTTCAGTGGCCGTCATAAATAAACG